AGAAGTGACTGCATGAAGTATTTGTCCTGGGAGCATCTCTGTCCTAACATATCCAATGCCAAAATGGAGTATTTCACTCCAAACATAAAGCTCATTCTTCTTCCTCGTTCCCATATATGATCTGTCACTAAACCTGGTCATGTATTTCTTTCTTTTTTTTGCAGGGGGTGGTGGTAGGGAATTGAACTCATGACCTCAGGCTTGCCAGGCAAACACTTATGCTGTTGAGCTATATCCCCAGCCCCTGGGTCATGTATTTCTTATAAAATCTCCGAAACCCATCCTTCCCACCACCACCTCTTAGCTCAATCTGCTCTCGCCTGCATAATGGCCTCCTAGCCATTCACACGCTTCATTACATTTTACATGAGGCAAGGGCATTGAGGGTCCAGTCATTGCTTATCTCTTGGGCCTGAGTCCACACCACACTCTCAGCTCTCCACTCTCCAGCCACTGGTCTTTCTTGCTTTCCTAGACTGCTCACGTCTGTTTCTTTGACCACAGGGCCTTTGCACATGCTGTTTCTACCACTGGACTACTCACTTCCTTCATTCCTACTGTTCCCTCAGATTCCAGTTCACTTTCTCTTCCTTAGGAATGCCTTCCTGACCCCTAAGGCCATGTCTCCCTCTCACTCCCCCACAGTGCCTTTTCTTCCCTGCCCTTTACTTTGTGATTTTACCTTTACTTTGTGATTTGATGCTCTGCATCTTCCTTTGAATTGTGCATGTCATGAGGTCACCAGCAAGGTCTATTGTGGCTCTCAGCTATATCCCCGGAGCTAAGGAATCGAAGCAGGTGGTGAGCACTCAGTGGAAGATTTTCCTCCTCAGACTCTGAGTGTATAGAAAATCTTAGAAGTGCAAAGGGAATTGCCAGGCACTGCAGATTTTCAGGGCCAACCCCTGTGGCTTATCATTTTATATTAAGAGGAAATAAAAGGAGAACTCAGTGGTCCCATCACAGTGGATTCCTCCCAGTCTCACTTTCCTGTAATACAGTCCCCATCTCCCAGGAATGTGGAAATGATCGCTGCGGTGAACTGTTTGGGGATGCGCTGTCTATTCTGTTTCAGAGAAGATGCAATCATCCCTCTTCACTCCCAGGCAGGGGTGCAAACACGCTGGGGGAAGCTGTTGCCTATTCCCCTCAGAAGCTGGGCACATTTGGCTAATTGCCTCACAGGCCCCGGGCAGCTTGAGCAACACAGGGCTCATTTCCCTGAGGACTCCTTATGTTAGGATCATACAGCAGCACTTCCAAGAGGCTTCGTCTTGAGGAGCTTCGCCATGAGCAGGGGCTCTGACTCTGAGTCACACTATTGCTGTTGAGGTTGTGGTGCTGGGGATGGAATTCAGAGCCTGCTAGGCAGGTGCTCCATGGCTGAGCCGCTCTGCAGCCCAGCCTCTGGGTGTTAATGCTCAAGGCCTGCTGAACACACGAGCCTTCAGCTCACAACATGCGGGATGCATTTGGAGCATGAGATATGGCGACCTGATTTCAAAAGATTCATGTTACTACAGATGCCAAAATGGTCCAAAATGCTGACAGCATACATTTCTGATGCCGTTTCTTTATTAAACAACTTACAAATGATATTTCTGGGGCTACTTAGAAGGCTCTGTATGCACAGATACTCTCCTAGAACTTGAATTACAGTAAAAATAGCTCATCTAAGTATGGCAAATTACAGGCGTGGAAGTTATAACAGGCCAACTATGCGTTGTGCCGATGTCCTTCTGTACGTTCAACAAAGGATAGGATTTTAACAACGAAAAGTTAATATGTGGGTTTATTGTCTGCATTTTAAACTATGGACATTATTGTCCATATGAAAGGATATTTTTATATACTGACAAAGATTTTCTTATTAAACAAACTCTTCGCAGGTTCCTTGGAACTCCTACTGTGATGGTCTTGAATAAAGTCCACCTTTCTTCAACAAGAATCATTGGATAACTTTTCATCAACACATATACAAGACAAATATGTGCATGCTAGCTAAAACTGGCCAATTAACATTTCCATAATAAATCAGTCCTCTTGTATATTTATATGTGACTCATCCACACATAAGAAAGTACTTACTTTAGAGTATTATCTGAACCTATACACAATTTATCATGTTGAACATCCTTAGGTTGTCACATTTCTTCTTTGTGTTAAGAGCTAGCCCAGGAAGTATCTCCTTTATAAAACTAATAAATAAAAATTTGGAATCCACTTAAGAAGAAAGGGTGCTACAAGGTAAAACACTGAACATTTTAACTAGAATAACTTCAGTTATATGATGAATCATCCATCTATCATGACATAAAGATATTCTACAGTGCATCCTCTATCTTCTCCAATTCAGAAGCAATGTTTCTTAATAAACACAAAAATTATAGATGAATATCATATGGAGTGCCAAGTTAATCAGTTTGGCTGTGCTGATCACAAAAGCTGGCTAGGAGCAGTCTGAGAATGATTTAAAGGTAGCAACTTCGTTTGTCATGTTTAGATTCTTTCTCCCAAAACGATGAAAAGTTTCCACATTTTTAATGATTCATGAGTAATTTGATGCCTCGGTACGTGCACCCATCAAAAGGACAGGTTTTCCAGGGTCTTGAAGATGCCAGTGTAATCAGTCAGGGAGGACGACTGGGGCTTTGCCTGTGGCTTTGCCAAAGGTATTAATTAAAGCCCCTGATTTGCCAGAAGGAAGAGCATCTACCATCCCAGCACTGAGGGATTCATGCCAACAAATGGCAATTATTTAAATGTGTGTTTTGCATAGCAAAGTCAGGTGGGTTTTTTTTTTTTTTTTTCAGTGCTTACAGAACACTTCCATTTTCTTCCCTGTTGAGTGTCTTGTACCTGACCTTGCCTCTAGAATACGTTTCATTTAGATGTTGTTCTTTTGTATTTTTTTTTACAATGGACACATCACTATATATGTTCCTGGGGTACAGTGTGATAATCTGATGCATGTATATAATATGTAAGGATCAAATTGGGATAATTAGCATTTCTTTCTCCTTAAATACTTATGTCTTTGTGTTGGGGAGCTTTGACCCTCTCTTGCCTAGATTTTTATAAAATGCATGATAACCCGTTATGGGCTACAGCCACCCGCTGTGCTGTAGGGTACCAGCACTCATTCCTCCTGTCTAACTGCATTTTGTTGCCCATTTATTCAACCACATAGCCGTGCTTTTCCCTCCCCTCAGTCAGTGGGGGATGCCCGTCCAGAGACCTGCTCGCCTGTAAGTCACTCGGTGGCTTTTAGGAAAGCACAAGTGAGCTGCATCCTCACCCTTTAAGCAATCTGTGCCAAGACAGAGAGTGGAAGACACTCTCTGAGAGCCAAGGCAAAGGAGCTTGATCAGAGCTTGATTTAGAGATTTAGAAAACCAGAGGGTCACTCCTACCTCAAGATTTAAGAAACCATAGCTACAGGGCACTGAGGCTTCTGAAAAACAGGCTCAGAAAACAAAACTGAGTGTCTTCCACGGGAGCTGTTTAAGATTTTCAGAATTTCTGCAACTTTCTGCCAGATTTTTCCATGTCCGTCTTCTCTTTCCGTCCCCAAAGTGACTGGTATGAAGATTCTTGGGTCTGTGGACTGATGTTTGGGTACAAAAAGTGGATCATCTCTCATTTCAGAGTTACTCTGGGGACAAGGCAAAGGGAGCAGAAACCCCACAAATAGAGGAGGGGGTTCTGAGTAGGAAGGAAAGCAGGCTGAGTTTCTGAGGATGTAGAGGAAAAGGAAATGAAAGCCTTGAGGTAAGCCTGAGGACAAACTGGGCACATAACTAGAAATGCAGTACTACAGACTACCCCGTGTCCTTCCCAGGTCGACCTGTGGAAGTGCTAAGCCCCAGTGACATCTGGAGATGGTGCTTAGGGGAAGTACTTAGGGTTAGCTGAGGTCAAGAGGATGGGGCCCTTGTGATGGGATTAGTGCCCTCATCAGAAGAGACTTTAGACAGCACCCCCGCCAACACACACAGGTCATGTGAGTGGGCAGCAGGATGGTAGCCATCTACTCCCCAAGACCAGAGATTCCAGGATAAAATCTATCTTGTTGACACTCTGACCTTAGATTTCCAGTCTCCAGAACTGTGAGAAGTAAATTTCTCTTATTTAAAATACTCAGTGTACGGTATTTTGTTATGGCAGCCCAGCCAGACTATGACAACAATAAAATGAATCTGTATAGCTTTTCCACCATCTCATCTCAAACCCAACGTGGTGAAATAAAAGCTTTTTTTCCTATACATCTCTCTCTCCATACCCTTAGATAGCCACCTACTTTGTTACACAAAGTCTCCACAAATCCTAACTTATGAGAGACACTCTTTCATATTGTACAGATGAAGGAGCAGAGATACAAAGGTAAGCAAGCAGAGCAAGCTCATATAATCAACCCATAGCAGAGCTGGGCTCTAAACTGAGGCACAGTCACCCCAGGACCGACCTCAGGACCCCAGGACCTCTCCCAGCTGTGCCGTTTTGCTCCTTCCCTTGCTGTCACTGAGTGATTAACTGGACAGTTACGCCTGTCACTCTAGCGGTGGCTCATTTCCATTCTTGCTCTCCTGTCTTGTCCAGGAAACATTTACTCAAGACTTTTCCTCCATGAAATAATCTATTCTCATCTGCCAACGACCATACATAACTCATTTTCTGCTGTGTGCCGACTTTTATTGGAGCAGTGAAAATAAGAAATGGATTGTCAATGCTAGAATGAAAGCATCCAAGTCCAGATTCCTTATAGATCAAATAAAATTGGTGGTTTTGAAATTAAAAAATAATAACAAAAGAACCAACCCTGAGATATGAGAAAACCACACAGGCTATAAAAAACACTGTCAGTCATACCGAGGAATTATTAAAGACAGTAGCAAGTTCAAGGCTTGAGCTCTTCCCTGTGGTAATTAAATTCTGCCAATTAAGACACAGAGTTGAATTCAACCAATATCGGTGAGGGATGAAGGAAGCCACTGCCTTACCTGCTGAAGTGTGTTTGAACTTTTCACTTTTCTTCTTCCTCCATTTCCAAGGCTTGAAAATCCTTCCCAGGTTGGCAAACTTACTTCTCCTCCGGATGGGTGGGGTGTGGGTTCCCGGCACGAGGGAATCGGAACGCATAGCCGCCAGCCTCTCCACTTCCTCAGCTTGTTTTCCCCAAGAAGAAAAGAGATGGAAATAAAGGGAAGAGGGAAAAAGTGTTAGAATGGGAGCCTCACAGATGGCTGGAGTTTTCCATAGCTACAGATAGCAGAAGCCATGTGACTGGAGCTCCGTTTGCCTTTTGGAATGGAAGGCACAGCGAGGTGTTCTAAAGGCGGGGGACAGCGAGCCCAGCCCTACAAATTCGCAACACCCCACCCGCAACAAGTTTATTTATTTAAAGAATCAGCATCTCACTATGGTTGTGTGGGCTGGTGCCGAACTTCTTGGCTCCAGTGAGCCTCCTGCCTGAGCCGCCTGTAGCTGGCACGAGAGGAGTCCACCCCTCTACCCAGCTGCCCCAGACGAACTGCTCAACCTTCACTTAGATGGGAGGAAGAGGAAGACAGGCTCTCCTGATGCATGAGAGACTCTCCAACAGGGAAGGAAAGGCCATCGGGAGATTCGAGTGACAGTGTAACTACTGGTCCAGAATTTCTCAACTAGGACTTGGCACACGCAACCACTACAGCACTACAGCTGAGAAAAAGAGGAGGAAGAAAACACGTACCAAATGCCCATTCAAATGCTGTGATTCCCACCACCCACTGCTCTCCACTTCCTACTGCTCTGCTTTCCTCTGAGCTCAGGACACTGACATGCATGGAGGGCCTGGCTCGACCTCAGGGTTACTGAGCTGGTTTTAGAATTACTATTACTCACACTTCCATCAGCTCTTTACAATTGCCTTACTTCCTCTACAGCTTTCCTCCCCTGGAGTTTTGCTTTAAAAAATAATTGTTAAGATTTCGGGAGCTAGGAATATCTGTAGGGAATATCCAGTCCAACACCAATGACTGAACATTTGCAAATGACTATCATTTGGATCTGCAAGTTTCCCTCAAAGGAATGTGTTAAGGGCTTGGTTCCCAGCCGGTGGCACTCCTGGGAGACAGTAGAACTTTAAGAAGTGGTGACTAATGAAAGGTCCTAAGTCACCGCGCATGTGTCCCTGAAGGGGTGATGGGGCCTTGGTATCTTCCTCTCTCCCCTTTGCTTCCTTGCCATGAGGTGAACAGTTTGATCATTACTCCTCACGATGTGCTGCCTCTCTAGCAGCTCAAAGCAGTGGACCCGAACTGCCAAACCAAATCTTTCCTCTTTATAAATAGATCATCTCAGGTATTTTGTTACAGTAGCAGAAAGCTAACAGAAGCATAATAAGACTTTCAGTCTCTCTTAAGAAAGTCTGGACCCTTCCTTAAAGGCTACAACTGCCCCAATATCTTTTCACCACATAGAAAAAACAAGCTCTTTTCCAAGTTACATGAGTATTTATATATTCCACTGAGCTAAATATACCCCAACTTGAATTTCTAAGATGAGAATAATCAGAGAAAATAATTTCTCTGGCAGAATTGCGGGGATAGAAAGAACTCAACTTTCCAGAAAGCAAAATTATATGTAAAGCTGCAGCAAATCCAAACCACTGTTTGTCCTTGAATGATGACCTTTAGAAAAATCACCCAGTCCCCAACACTCGATCTTGTGGCCCTGGAGTTTGCCTGTCATGGTGTGCAAGTGCTTTTAACAGAGGGAGATCCCTTCATCCTACCAGTGTACGTGGAACCCTGACCAAGTGGCTGGCAGTGTGCTACGGTAGATGTACTGGGGATAGATGAGGATGAGCTGGCCAAGGCTCTTGACAGCAGGACTGAGAGGAAGTAGATAGATTTGGGAGGTGGGTTGGAAGAAAGTCCGATTGCAAGACTTAGTGAGCAATTCAGTGACCTGAAGGACAGAAGGCAGGTCACTCTCAACTCCCAGAGTCACACTGGTAGAATGTCTCCTTTTATTCACTGAGACAGGGAAGGGTGAAGCAGAGGCTTGTGGGTGAGCATGGTGACAGCTAGCACATATTCCAATGAAGATGGTACTGAAACCACTGACTACAGATGCCCCTTGAGTTAGGATCTGGTTACCTCCTGATAATCCCATTGATGGCTGAAAATATTGTAAGTGGGAAATACACTGAACCCCCCTAACCTACTGTACATCTCACCTTAGAAAGAGAGCACACTGCAGAGTGTGAGTTGTGACCCCTTGTGACCATGTGGCTGACAGGGACCTGTGGTCACTGGTGCTACCCAGCATCCAAGACAAGATTGGATGACATATCAGTACCATGGGAAATGGACAATTTCAAAATGTGAACTACGGTTTATACTGGATGCGAATGGTTTTGGCACCATGGTAGAGCTGAGAAATCCTAGTCAAACCCCCATAAGTTGGAGACTGTCCCTACACGGTTCAATGCATTGGCAGAGTCTCTTTTCAGAGATACTGGACAGACCACTTAATTCTGTATCGGACACTGTGATCCTTCCTGGAGAGAACGGAAGAGGAGGAGGAGGAGACAGAGGGTCAGTGTGTGAAAAACCACAACAGGCGGCAACGAGGCAAAACCCAGTGGAGGTGAAGTGAAGACAGCCAGTGATTCTGCTTCAGTGCTGGAGCAGACCCCAGGGAGGTGCTACGTGGCTGGGCTTGGCAAAAGGAAGGAGGAGATGTGGACCCCTAGCAGGAGCAGCAGCCCTGGGAAGGCAGGGAGAGCATGGCAGGTCTAGGAACTTCCAGGGGCCAGTGAGCCCTGTGCATCATGGAGAGCTGTGGATGGTGGCATCAGGTGTTAGCGCACCCCGGCTTTTGACAGGGCTTATTAGGCATTTGGGTTTTATCATATTAGCAGAGAGTAAAGGGTGAGAATTTGAAAATGAGAAACTGACATCATCACATTCAAAAAATAGGTGCTGGGGGCTGGAGATTTAGCTCAGCAGCACAGCGCCTGCCTGGAAAACACAAGGTCGTGAGTTCGATTCCTGCTACCAGAAAAAACCAAAAAACAAAACAAAACAAAACAAAAAATAGGTGCTGGGCATTCACTTTGTACTAGGAACTTAGGTTGCATCAGTAAACAAAACAGATAAAAATACCTACTTGTGGAGCTTGCACTGGTGGGCAGGGCAGTCAATAAACACCAAGGCTAAGTACAGAGGACCTTAGAAGGTACATGCTTTGGGGGAAAAGCAAACAACCAAAGAAAGGATAGAATGTAGCAAAGAAGATGAAGGGTATCCAGAAGAGAAGGGGGTCAATTTTAATTAGCCTGCTGAGAGTCAGCTCACTAGAGAAAATATATGATCAGGATGCAACCAGCTCTGTTTTTCAGGGAAACCACTGTGGCAACAAAGACAAGCTAAAAGGAAACGCAAAGAAAGAGGTGACAGAACAATAAGAAGCTACTGCAGCTGATTAACTAGGATCCACGCAGGGCAGTGGCACAGGAAGCAAGATCAGCTTACCAAAGCAGCAGATCTGGTAAATCTCTGGATAAACATGCATGAAGAAGAAAGAGTGGCCAAAGTTTTTGGCTTTCATGAGTAGGTTGATGTGATGATCTCACACGTGTTAATGAACTCTGAGGATAACAGGGAGACGTGGACTTGGGTGGCTTGAGGAAAAAGGCTTTGGAGGCAGATAATGCAGTCTTCTTGCAAAGCTCTTTAGAGGCTGGATTCTATGTCTTCAAGTAATAAGAACTACTGAGTGGAGATCTGGAAATCTGTCATGTTCGGGAAGCGGCGACTCATTCTCTGTACGATGAGCTGCACATCCAACAGAGGGTAAGAGATGGAAGACATAGGAAAGAGGTCGAGAAATTTATGAAACTGAGTTCTATGGGAAGGGAGGTGGGATCAACGCACACAGGGAAGCATTCATCATCAGAAGGTGATGCTGTGTGATTGAAGGTTTGAAATGAGGCCTGGAATCACAAATGGTAAAGATCGCATGAGGGCCTCCGGGAGATTAACTCAAGCAGCAGTGGGTGAAATGGATCATTAGAAGCAGCAAGATGTTTTAAGGAAGTTTGGGCTGCAGAATGGCTGAGAAGACTGCTAAATTTAAAAGATAAATTTAAATCAGCTGTAATAAAAAAATGAGAAGGACAAGCAAATAGGCTTAGGGCCATGATGAACTCGGGTGTGTTTCTTTGTAGATAGAGGTGGTACCAGCTGCTTGAGTGGTGCTTTGTCCATGACTGCACTCAGAGGCACTGCTATCCCCAGGATCTGGAATGTCCCCCAAAGCCCATGTATTGAATGGTTGGTCCCTGAAGATGGCATCATTGGGAGGTGGTGGTGCCTTTACAACGTGGAGCCCCCTTGGAGGTCTTTAGGCCACTGGCCCTGGAGGGAACTGTGGGACCCCAGCCACTTCCTCTCAATGTCTTGCCCTGAGGTAGAAGTTCTGCTCTGCCACATGCTCCCACTGAGACATACCGTCTGCCCACCATAGGTGTAAAAGCAACAGATCCACCATGCATGGCCTGGAACCTCTAAAACAGTGACCCGGGTGAACTTTTCTTCTTATACACTCATCATCTCTGGGATTTGTTACAGTCATGGAAAACTGACAAATATCCACACAGGGGATGATAATTATGGGAAACTTTAGCAAGAAGGCTTAGAGTCCAGGATGGAAGTAACATCAACAGAGACATAGATCACTTGCTCTTTCAAATCCATTGCTTTCCTTCCCCTTCTTACCTTCATTTACAGAGTTATTGTAGCTTATCTAGATTTTACAAGTCTACACAACCTGTATTCCTGAACTTAATCCTGCTTCTTTCAAACTTCTGTTTTATACTCTTACTAGATTGTTCTTCCAGAAGTCTGCTCTTCCTACAACTTTCAATGGCTTCACATACTTTACAACTTCTAATTTCCTGTTTTGGTTTTTAGGAACCTCAACCTAAGTGACCTGCTCCAAAGTATCTTCTAGTACTTTCAAAACACATGTTGCAGTTAAAATGAAACACTTGTTACATGTAGCAACAATCATACTCTGGGATCTCTGGATCTCAAAAAAATAATATGCAAAGCTTTGGTATTTGGGGGTACCTGCTTTTCGTTAGAAGAGTTCCTGTCTTCTTTTGGATCCCAAA